CAGGATTCTTGCTCAGAAAAAGGATCAACATGCTCTGAAGTCAGAGCACAAAAACCTTTTTGTAACAAAATATCGATTTCTGCTGTCCCTGTATCCATACATTATTAGCAAACAAAATATCACCATGCTACACAGTATCCATTTTTTCCCCCACCCCTAGTATGGACCATCGTCTAGATATGAGTAATGCCCAATATCAGCATATGATTAAATACAAATAACTATTTGATACATTTTTTGTATTTTTCAGTCTGGATTGTGAAAAACAATCTAGCTGTCATTAAAATGCAACCTTAAAATTAATTGAAAACCTGACTGAATTTTAAATATAACAATTATTTTTAATAAGTGGAAATAGTGCAAATAGTGACCCCCTTAAGTCCAACACCAGCTGATGTCACTAAGTGTTGCGTTTCCTCCCTTGAACGGCTCTGCTGGGCCTTTACTGGAGCTGCTGGTTTGTGGCTCTATCTGCATTCAGCTCTGCATTTGTTTATCAAACTGTATTCAAGAAATATTCGATTTCTTTGCCTTGAGAAACTCTTGTTCTCCTGCTCTTCTATCAGCAGTCACATCATCAATCAACAATAGTGACACAGTCCCAGTGGCCTGTTTAACAGATGGTATGCTTCAGATCATGAGTCCTCTCCATATTTTTCTCTGTCCTTGGGTTTTCTTTTCACTCTCTCTGATAGGTTTACTATTTACAAATGATCATTTCCTTTGCATTCATCAATATCTCAATCGAATTCATGATGAGAGTTCCAGTTAAAATTATACCAAATACACGTTCAACACTTGGAATTAACTCCGGATTTCTTATCTGCTCAATTTATGATAAAATAACGAGAACAGGCCTCAATCGGTCATGTAACTGCTTGTCAATCAACTGTCCAATTACTTTTAGGCCTCAACTGTATCAGGAAATAAGAAGGCATTTACCATTCTGCTTAAATGTAAAATAGTGTGATCTTTGCTGCCCCTAGTGGCAAAAACTCAAACATTACCGCTTTAAACCAAAAAAGAACCAAGGATCATCCTCAAAATACAGATTCAGATACAAAGCTTTGTTTGTCTCCAAATAAAAACAAAGATGTATGAAAGAAGTCCTTATTTAGTTTTATTAACCTGTTTTTCCCATCTTTTCCACAGTGCTCACCAGTCAGCACACCACAAAAGTTCTCACTCACAAGCGCGCCTTCAGCGATGAAGCTAGCAAGATCACAACGGCCTTCCCTCGAGCCAATCCTGCAGTCGAGTCACTCAAGGGACAGACCATGACTCAGTCCCAGTCATCCTTGTGTATAAATGGAAGCCATGTCTATGACTCTGAGCCATCGACCCCAAAGAGCTCTGGAGCGCTCTCGTCCAAACTGGTTCTGCTGGAAAAATGCTCGCCGCTCTCTCGCTCGCTGCAGAATCTCACCAAAAGAAGTGAGGACAAAGCTTCCTTTGCAGAGGGCCGACGCTGGTCCTTTGACAAACTGAAGAAAGAGGAAAAAGAGGAAGAAAAGGATGCTCAGGCATCGTCTACTTCTATTCAAGAAGCTCAGATAGGGGGTTGCCCTGTGCAGGCAGCCGTGCCGACGGTCTCCTCAGCAGCTGAATCAGCTGACAAAGGAAAGAAGCCGAGAAAGACGTTCTTTTCTGGAGGGAGGAGTGACTCTCTCCCATCTAAGTCAGAACTCAGCCATGCTGGATCAGAGGGGAGGCTCAGAGGCTGGTTTGGCTCGAGTGAATCCCAGAACAAACCAAGGTGAGTTGGGCTCATTTACGACCTCGTGTCTGCGCTTCAGACGATGATCAGGCACAACAGAGGCCTGTGTTCAGTTGGGTGTTCCGCGTTCACTCTTCTGCCTGCTCATTTGAAAATGGAATTGATTTAAATCATAATTTTTCCATCTTACAACCATGCTGTCATCACCTCATGCTATATTTTCCACAAACAGCACTCCTGCATTGCCAGTTTTTCTCCCCAGAGTGTTTCTTTGAAGAATATCATCCCATGTTGATACGAGCTCACCCAGCAGAGTAGCTGCAGTGCAGTTGGTGCTTGAATGGCTCAGTGCGAGAGTTACTTTTCGTTGCTTGATTATTTTGCAGATGTGCTTTGCTTCTTTGTTTTATTTTACGTTATCTTTCCATAAGTCTGTCATGAACCTTGTGAAGTTTAAAGACTGACGTTAAGCAGGAATATCCCTCTGAGGGATATCAGCTTGTATTCTGGTTTTTCTGTTTTTGTACGAACAATGTTCCCCATCTGGTTACCTGGCACATCATTAACTAAGAGGACTATTGTGCCCTATTTCCTTCACAGGCTGGAAGTTTCTCCTAAGGTAGAGCGCAGCTCAGATGTACCCCCTCCCCTCCCTCCTCGTTCCCCTGTTCCTCCTCAGTGCTCCTCCCCCTCCGCCTCTCTCTCCGGTCATGTCTCACCCGATGACTGCAGTCACATCAATGTCTTCACCCCTTCTTCCTCTCCCTCCTCAACCCCCATCTCCCCTTCCAATCCTTTCCTCCTACGTATGCAGCGCAATCCCTTTTTTGAGGAGCTCATAGCAGGAGAGTTGCAGAAGTCTCCTCCTTTTGAACCTTGCTCCTCTGCTGGCTCCTCCCCCTTTCATTACACCACTCTACCTGCCCAGCCCCACACACCCACTGTTCCTCGTGAAGTTAGCGCCACAAATATAGCTTCCATAAAGCGGGAGCGCCCAAGGGCAGTAGCTAGGCAGATATCGCTTCCTGCATTATCGCCCAAAGTGGCCTCACCAACTTCTCCCAATCACTCCGCCCCTTGCTCCAGGTCAGAGAGTACAGGAGAATGGGATGACTCGTTTGATGCCTTTGCCTCTAGCAGGCTCAATTCCCCAAACGTTTGTCCTCCCCAAAAAAAGCTGACGACCTGCCCGTCATCTCGTAAACGTAGTTATCCCCTGGCCACTAACAGTAACTATGCACAAGAACTGCGAACATGTAACGAGGAGCCTCCACCTTTGCCTCCGAGGAGACTTTTAAGAACATCAGTGAATGAGATTTATTCTGACGGCTGGCTGCACAGAGGTCAGGAGCTAGCTGTGCATAAAGAAGCCTACCTCCTCTCTCAGACCGGTGTGGCCTCACTACAGCGTGGACGAGAAGGAGAATGTAAAAGAAACAACATATCTCCTGACCCGCACACAAGCAGCGAGACCAGCGAGACCAGCGAGTCCCTCGGCCTGTCCCAGTCGCACACCAACGTTACTTCTCCGGGGCTTACGCCAGAAGACAAGCTCAAAAAGTTCAAATATGAACCTCTGGAAGACGACGCTGATTGCTGGGGAGGGATGTTGTTCGAGCAAGACTTGTACGGACGTGTGTGTAGAAGAAATTATGGACAATGCAAAGTAAACAGTCATCGTTTATCGCTGAACGCCGAGGAAACTGCTGGAATTAAGATCACGTCTAAGAGCTCAGGGCCTAAAATGCTTCTTGAGAGCGAGATATCTGTTGCAGACCTTTTGAAAATGTCGCCCACTTCTCTCTCACATGTAGATGCCAAGGCGCTGGGTATTTCTCCCACTCCAGGAGACATACTGGAAACGAACCTAGTAGAAAGTCCCTGCACCAACAATAACATCTCTTTCTCGCTCACTTTAGGAGATCTGAACATGAATGTGAATAATACAGACTTTGGTTTTATTGATTCTGATGGGTCTTCACACTCGGAGGTTGGCGATAAAAGTGGGACTTTACAGCAACCGCCTGAAAGTTCACAGGTGGCCGTGCACCATTCGGAAACCAAACCTGAGGAAATATTTACTTTGAAGGACACTTACATCCCCGAGATGAATTCTTCATTTGAAATATCTTCCAATAAGCTGTGCAAAGTAGCTCCAGTCAGCCAAGACAATTGCCGTGATTATCGAAATGAACTGAACAACGTAGCGCCGCTCGGTCACTCC